CCCCCCCCAAACAGACACACATACCCACGCCCACACACACACATTCACACACACATATTCACACAGAACATTTTTTCTCACCTTTAGGAGATACTCATCTCTAACTTATGTTCTGTTTCCTTAACCTCCTTATCTCAAAGTCAGCTCCAGCCTTCCCCTCCTGACCTCATTGAATTTGCTTGTTAATTTTATAATACAGTTTCTTTGCAAGACTTGGGGTAATGACTTATTTTTGGTTTACCCCTTAACCAGACTAAATTTCGGTCTTTGGGTGCAGGGCCTGTGGCTTAACATGGTTTTACTTAGTGCTCAGAACCCCTTGAACCTTTACATATTTGAGTGAGTGAACAAATGAGAAATGGGAGAAGTTGGAAGGAGTCCGGCAGGTGCCGGGCACTGAAGGTGGCCGCTTTGGAGGAGTTCAGCGTCTTGTGCTGGAAGTTAATTTGCAGCGGCCCCACCCCCTTCCCCCCGAATTTGAAAGTGAGCATAACATTTGGCCTAAAGTAAAATAAAAGTGACTTCAGTTGTGTCTAGTTTTGGGTTAGCGCTCGTGACTTATCTTCCGCTGAGTGGATAACGATTAGTTGCCTGTGATTTGTTTTGCTTCGGCCTGTTCTTGTTTCTTCTTGATTGTTTAGGAGTTTGTTTCTGACATAGCTTGCTTTTTAACACCAGAAAAATAGTGAATAAAAAGTATTGTGTGGTATTCATTTTTTTGAGATAAATTATGGGTATCTAAAAGTCATCTTTTTTCTGTGCATGGTAAAAATAGGCAGATTCACATAGAGCTTTAGTTATGTCTTCTCAACCAGGTAGTAAAGAAGAGGTTTCCATGGAAAGTTGATTAACTTGTTTATAACATATCTAGGTTTGAGCCTGCTCTTGTGTCAGGTCAAAATCACCATATTCTGATTTTGCAGGATCACACTGATTCGTGTTGGTTGTAGGATGTTATCCCTAATTTCATGTCAGACTTAGCAGAATAAGGAACCCCATTTGAATGAATTGTCTTGTGTTCTTTTATTCCATCTAATTTTTTTTTTTAATTTTGTTTTAGGAAACACTCCTTTACATCTTGCTGTGATGTTAGGAAATAAAGGTTAGTAAATATAATTATGTTTTTTCCTTTTAAAACATCATGTTTGTGAAGAATCTTAATTTTAACATAAATTTGGTCTTTTAAAACATGTAGGATGAAGCTAAAGTCCTTTACACTGTCACTAGTTTTTATTATTTACTAAACCTGGAGGATTTTCACCCCTTTCATTTGGCAAGCTCTATCAAGTTTAGAATAAAGCTAAAGTATTACTCTTTGGGATGGCAGTGTCTTAAATGTGGAAAGAGAAACTTTCTTTTGCTACCATATCCTTGTCACAGAATGGAATAAAACAGATTGAAATTCTTAATACCTTTTGAAAGTGTTTTTATTATAACTTTTATTACTTAAAAATTCATATATAGGAAAATCAATTTTTTTTCTGTGTTTGAGAATTAAGAATTGTCTCTGAATACCAGTGTAATTGTATTGTGGCTTATCCTTTGCAGAAGACTTTAATATTTCGTTTTTGGAAATTTGAGTGCATAGTAGGCGTGGTATGAGTTTGTTTGTCCAAGATAGATCAGCACAACTCCAGACGATGAGTAGGTTAGGCCTTGGTTCTATTTTCCACCTCTGAGGAGGTCGGAAGTGCTTCAGCACTTCAGTGACCTGTGATTTCATCGGTGTGACTGTCCTTCACCGGCACAGATACTACCTCCTCAAAGATTTAGGAAGCTGATATTTGAGAGTTGCTGTAGTTTAAAGAGAAATGCCTGTGCAGAGGAGCGGACGATGAGCCCTTCTCAGTGTCTGTTTCAGTTGATTCCATCTCCAAGCCTGTATTCCAATCAGTTTTAGTAGCTGGTAAAAGCTGTCAGAGCTTATGGTTTTCTGGGGGAAGCCTTCAAGAACCGATATTAACTGCAGGTCAGGCAGTAAGCATTTATGAAGCACCTCTTGTGTGCCCCCTTTTATGCTAAATAAATGCTGGGGATACAAAGAAGGGCAGAATTTCTGACAGTCCTTCCTCTCAAGTAGCTCATGACCTAACTGAGCAAACAACTACGTGCATGCAAGGTAAAGACAGGATAAGTTTGAGAAAATCAGCTGAGGGCAAGCGCTAGGACTAAGAAGGTTGTTGAAAGACTTTCTTGTCAGAGGTAGGATTTTAGCTGGGACTTGAAGCAGAGAAGACAAGAGGAGAAACTTGCAGGCATGATGGATGACTGGTGAAAATGCTTGGTCAGGAGCTGGAGTCACCTGTGTGTGGAACAGCAAAGAGGCCCATGTCACTGGATCAAAGAGTGTGGTGGGGGAGTAAGGTGTAAGCAGACTGGAAGGGCGGGAGGAGGCAGGTGATAAGGGCTTTGAGTGCCAGACCGAGGGTTTTGTATTTGATCTTGGAGGCAGTAGGAACCACTGGAATTTATTAAGCGGAGGGTGACCTGGTCACAGCTCTGCTTTAGGAAGATTAAGTTGACCATGGAGTGGAAGATGGACTGTAGCAGGGAAAGACCTAAGGGTCCTAAGCAGTGGACTTGCCACAGTCCCCTCACGCGGTTCTAAAGTTCTCTGCCTGTGTCGTGGCAGTGATGGAGAAGGGGATGTATTGGAGAGAGATGGTGAAGGTAAAATTGACAAGACTTCGCAGCAGATTGGGTATGATGGGGCTTTTAATAATATGACTCGATTAATTATTAATGAATTGTTAATAGTAATAGGGGATCCTAAGCTTGAACATATAGTAAGTAGTACTCTGTAGAATTTATCTCTTTGTATCTGAGCTTTTTGTATCACAGATAATTATAAAAGTCTAGATTCCTAGTCTTTATTTTAAAAAATCCATGAAAGCAAAGTGCTTTAATCAGTTTTTATATTCCTAGCTACTGTAGAATTTCATCTGTCCATGAGTCTTAGGAAAGGGTTGTTCTGTATGGCTCAGTTTTCTAGGTAGCTTAGAATTATCTAGATAAATGTTTGGATTTCCAAAGTTGAACTTTTTTAATGGAAGTTTTTCTAAAATGTACTAAATATTTACCTGCCTTAAAAAGTGATGCTTTTAGGGGCAGCTACGTGGTGTAGTGGACAGAGCTCCAGCCTTGGAGTGAGGAGGGCCTGAGTTCAAATCCAGCCTCAGACCAAACACTTGACACTTACTAGCTGTGTGACCCTGGGCAAGTCACTTAACCCCAATTGCCTTTAAAAAAAAAAAAGGTGATGATTTTTTTCTATTAGTCACTTCCCTATTTATACTTTATTACCTTTCCCAGTGATCCCTATAGGAGCAAAATCAGCCAACACAGTGCCAGTGTCTGATGGCACATGCAACATTCCCCCCAAAAGGGCCCTGGATCTTAGGAAGGCTCATTTCCTCATCCCCCATCCTGGGCCACAAGTTCTCTTAAGAATTACTCAGGGTCCAGCTTCATGTTAGTGGGTTTTTCCTTTACATTATTGTAATAATTGTATGTATTATTCTAGATCTGTTTACTCCACTATGTGTTACTAATTTATCATTCACCGTTTCTTAAGTGCAAACAACTCAGTTTAAGACACTCTCCAAAGAAAGGCGATACTTTCCTTCCCCTCTTAAACTGATTATAATAGAAATAACTCCCCATTTTCTTGAGGACTCAGAGTTGCCATCGAACCTAAAGCCTGCGAGGATCGGTCTGTGTGTCCTTCGCCTCACCCTGGCTCCCCTCTTGGGCCTCCCTTCTCGCTGCTCTCCAGCTCTCCCCATTTCGTTTGCCTCACAACACCCTTAAAAGAAAAACATCTTCTCCCCACTTGGCTGCCTCCTTAAGCTTTTGTTCTGTGTCCCTCCTTGCTTTCTGAGCTGCACTCGCAGATAGGGCCGTCTGCTCTCCCGGCCTCCTCTTCTCTTCCTCTTCCTTTTTTTCCCCCCTCCCTTCCATCCTTTTTTTCCTCTCACCCCTTTTCTAACCCTTTGGAGGCTTTCCCTTTTGTTTGAGCCAGCATCGGAGACAGGGGGATCCTCTCAGTGAGGGGTTGTGGGAATCTGACATCATCTCTTCTTTGAAGCCTTTTCTAGTCTTGCTTCTAAATAGATGGAGTCTTTTTTGCCTCTGAACCCTTGTAAAAAGTTACTTTTCTTATGGCTCTCATTCACTTTTCAACCCTTTGCAGTGTGGCTTCTAACCTCTTCAGTCAACTGAACTCTTACTAGCTGTGTGACCCTGGGTAAGTCACTTAACCTCTCTGTGCCTCAGTTTCCTTGTCTGTAAAATGAGAATAACACCTTTCTTAAAGGGTGGTGAAGATTAAAATATTTATAAAATGTTTTGCAGATTTTAAGGTGCTATATAAATGTTGACTGTCATTGCTATTATTATTATATATTACTTCCCACACTCTATGGGCTCTCTTGTTCCTCACACAGGGGGCTACATTCCTGTCTCCATAACTTTTCACTGGTTACCCCCCCCCCAATTTCTACTTAGAGTTTACTACACCCTCCTTTCCATCCACAGAATTCCTCACATCCTCTAAGATACAGCTAAAGAATCGCCTTCTGTATGAAGTCCTTCCTGACACCCTCTTCCTGCCTGCTAATGCCCTTCCTCCCTTGTCTCTATTTTGTATTCTGAGTATATACCCTCATGTATTTATGTGTTGGCTCTCCTGATAGAATGTAAGCTCCTTGAGGGCAGGACTGTTTCATTTTTGTCTTCGTCTCCCTGGTAGCACAGTGGCTAGCTTATAGCTTGGAGTTTAATTATTGCTTGTCGATTGATCTGAAGCTTGAGAATCAGTTGTTATATTGAAAATATTTCTACTCTTGCCCTTTGTCGTTCCCTAGTGCAAGTTTGGAATCTCTATTGGACTCAGTTTCGTTATGTTATGGATTCAGTTGGGCCAGTCTTTACCGTCCAGGGCTATGTTATTGAAGGACAAATGGTGGCCCAGTGGATGTCTGCTGGCCTCGATTTCCCATCCTGCAGGCCTACGCTTTGCTCAGTCTTGTATCTTTTTTGATTCTTGTCTGGATGCTTCTCTCTGACTTCATCTCTGCCTCTGATCTTTCTCTTTTCCTTGCCTTTGCTTTTTCTAGTCTTGTCTTGAGCTTCCCAAAACCTTAATTTCTTAATGGGTAAAAAGAAGATATTGCCACCTGCACTGGCTGCCTTCTTGGGTTGTTGGGAAGAATTAACTTTGTACCCCTCAAAAACCATATTCGTGTGCTTCATTATACGGGGCATCACTGACTAATAGCATCTCCTTCTCGTGGTGTATGGATGACGAACAGCTTGTTGGTAGGTTGGCCTTTGCTTTTCCCTGATTCGTCTATAGGCTACTACACGTAGAAGAGATCTGTGGAGAGAAGGAATCTGTTCTAGTAGGTTCCAGCCCCATCGTTTTCCAGATGAGGAAACTGGAGGTTGTGATGTTCCCAGGGCCACACTGTTAGTTAGTGTCTGAAGTGGAATTGGAACCCAGGTCTTCTGAACTCAGGTCCAGTGCTCAATTTCTGGTGCCATGAAGCCTCTCACTTTATTGTAACTAGATTTTTGTTGGCTGCCCCACCTCCCCCTTTGGGGAGTATACATCTTCCAGTATTTATCCTCGTTTGAGTTACAGAGATTAGATGTATCCTAATGACTTTGGCAAAGCGGAACATTTAAATGATGCACTTTAATGATCTTTTCTTGTTAAATAAATACTTGAATGGCACTTGTCTCGATGGACCCCTGTGAGTGTTTCCTTTTTAAACATTTTTCTAGAGTCATAGGCTGTTGATGAGTCCCAGTTGCTTATTTCAGTAGTAGATCAGAGATATTTTGGCATATCATTTACTTATTTAAGATTGCTAAGGTTAACATTTTGTCCACTGGAAACAATTATGCTAACATTTAGTAGCTTTAAAGAGCTAATATTGTGAAGTGGCCATCTTTGGGAAGAATGGTAAAGGAATATTTTATTTCCCTGATAGGATATGGTCAATAGATTGGAAAGAAATTCCTAATCTGAGTTTTCTTTAAGTAATAGATGCACCTAAGTCCATTAAAAAGAAAACTATTATAATATTATTGGGATGTTTTCCTTATGCCTGTAAATCATGGAGCACCATAGGTTTAGAAGAATCATGATTATGGAAAGCAGCAAAGGCAGCAGAAATGAGTACTTCTGGTGGGAGAAGTTGGTATTCTGTTACCAGTGACAACTTAAGAGGCTAGAAATCAAATAAAACATACTGCTATCATCTGTAGCAGTAAATGAATAAAGCCACCATTAAGTGTTTTCTCTGTGCAGCTGTGCATTGTAGTCCAGTGCGAGGGATGTAAAGAGAAAATCAGGAAGGCTCCTACTGCCACAGAGCTCCCGTCCCATGAGGGAAATAAGCCAGAAAGGAGATTTCAGTTGCAAGTCAGAAGAAAGGGCCCTTGGGGGCAGTGGTAGAGTAGGTGGGGCATGCCTCCTCTTCAGTGTCATTTCCTTTAATCATATCTATGTCGAACCATTCGACAGTGCCAGAGTGGTCACAACTTTTTTTTCTGGATCTTTAGTCGCTGTAGTTGCTAAAGAGGAGGTGTTCGCTGTAGCACCTATAGAAGAAAGTTGCTAGGTCACGTTTCTACAAGAGGTTTTTTCTTGGGCTGTGGCTGAATGCATTAGGCTGGAAGCAGAGTAGGTGGTCTTGGTGGGGTTCTGCTCTTCCTGGGGTTCTTCGCCTTATCTGCTCATTTAGTGGTGTTTGGTTGGTGCTTGGGGTTGGCATTGGCAGGGATGGAAGGAATACTCCTTCTCTTCCTGGGTTCCTCTCCTCCATGATGGCCAAAAGAGCTGGAGAACGAGTACTTCTGTGTCCAGGGCCCTTTTAGTGGCTGCCCGTCTGTGATTAGTGTTGATGGTAGCAGGGATGGAAAGGAGGGGTTCAGCCAGGTTACAGTGATACAGCAGAGTAAATATGAGGAGATTTTGTGTTGTATGCAGAGGAGGGCTTTAGCCTCATGGGCGGATCCTCTCTGGAGGAGTCACGGTGTAATACATGGGGCAGCGTTACCCAGGATGAGAAATTGTGGATGAGCTGGGATCAAGTGAGGGATGCTGAGCGCCCCCATGATGACAATCCATGGGAGTTTTAAGTGACAAGCTTGAGAGGGTTTGGAATTCACTCTTTTTCATAATGGATATTAACTAGCATGCCATTTATTAGCTATTTCAAACAATCATGTGCTTGTAGTTATTTGATTTCTTGAATGATTTTCCTTTTTAGGGATGTGAAAATAATTGGAAACGGTCTGTTTAAAATGCCTTCTCTTTTGCAGAATGTGCCCATTTGCTTTTGGCCCACAATGCTCCAGTAAAGGTGAAAAACGCTCAGGGATGGAGCCCTCTGGCAGAAGCCATCAGCTATGGAGACAGACAGATGAGTATGAAGTTGCAATTGTTTCTGGTCTGGCTACAGTTTCAGGGTGGGATTGTGTTTAGAATTGCGTCGACTCGCATGCTGCTGCATATTGACAAATACTCCGTTGTTAACAGACGTCCCTCCATCCCAGAATTCTTCACTTGCTCCTCTTTTGGACTGGCTTTCCTCAGGAGGTGCAGCATGCTTGCTGAGTGGCCCCAGTCCTGGGTGCTCCTCTCCATCCTCACCTCCTGCTTGTACTCTCCCTTTGCCACCAGCCCCCCTCCATCTTTGTCACCTGGTCTGACTCCCTGCCAGGCACCTGCTCATCCTCTTAACTTTTCCAGAGAGCTCAGGTTCAGGGTCCTGACTTTCTCTCCGCTTTGACCCCTGCTCTCATCTTTGGGGACTTGCCTGTACATATGGCTGTGGCCTTCTTGGCTGTGTCTCAGGCATGTGCAGGCCCCACCCCGCCAGATGCTTTCTAGCTTCTCGCCTTGCCCTCGCTCTTCCTCAGTGGATTCTTTTTTTTTTTTAAATTTCATTTCTTTAATGTGAACATGGAGTCACCAACAAATACAGGCATCTCAAGATACAGAGTATTTTATGATAAGCTGAACTTCTCGCATAAATTTTTTAAACAAGAAATAAAACTTTTAACCAGTAGTAACAAAATCGCTCTATTTGTATCCTCTTGGGCACTTTTTTTCCTTCTGTGCATTTCAAAAAATGTGTTATTGATGATCTTTTTTTCATGTCTGTCACTACCTACTAACCCACCTCTCTCTCGATAGAAGCCCTCCTCTCTAATAGATATGACAACTCTTCCCATTGGCCAGGTCTGGAAATGCCTGTTTCATTCTCAGAGGCAGCTGGGCAGCACATTGAATAGAGCACCTGATCAGGAGTCAGGAAGACCTATCTTCAAATCTGGCTTCAGACACTTAGTAGCTCGGTGACCCTGGGTGAGTCATTTCACCGCTGTCTACCTCAGTTTCCTCATCTGTAAAGTAAAGATAAAAAATAATACCTACTTCCCAGGGTTATTTTGAGGATCCTGTGAGGTCATATTTGCAAAGCGCTTAGCATGGTACTTGGCACGTAGTAGGCACTTTTTAAGTGCTTGTTGCTTTCTTTCCTGCCTGCGTACCTTTTGCCTTCCTTTCCCCTTACCTCCTTTTCTCCTTCCTCTCCCTTTCCCTGTTTCTGCCCTCCATCTTCCCCCCGTTCATTCTGTCTTCTCCTATCTGTCCCTCGGTCCCTCTTGCGAATTCATCACTTCTCTGCCATGAGGTAGGGGGAGCTGTTTTATCGTTGTGCTTTGGAAGTTGATTGGTCACTCGTTTGATCTGAGCTCTGAGGTCTTTTGGACTTGTTTCCCTTCACATTGTTATTGTGGTTATCATGTAAACTCTTCTCCAGATCCTCCTCATTCATTACACTCTGCGTCATTTCATACATTTCATACATTTCATACTCGTATTGCTGTGTTTCTCTGAATCTGTCATTATTCCCTTTTTTTGTGGAGTACATTGTCTTCTGTTCAGTTTGCTCAGTCATTCTCCAGTTAGTGCTCAGGACCTCTTCTAGCCTGTCCCTGTCTTCTGTTCCTTTCTGTGCTCAGGCCGCTGCCTCTGCCCTCTTCTCGGTGCCTTGACCCTGTGGTTAGCCAGTGGAGCCAGGCGCTTCCCCCGGGCCTGGAATCTCCTGCTGTTTTGTCCTCTTGCTGCTTGTGCAGCCAAGGCCTTGCTAGAGAAAGTTCACTCATCCTGGAGCCTGTGGGGTATTTGACACTATTCCTATTCCTTCCTGCTCTCTCCAGGCTCCCTCTCTACCTGTCTGTGGATCCTTTTTAGTCTCCTTGGTAGCATCCATATGCATTTTGTGTCCCCTGACCACGGATGTGCCAAGAGCTCTGTCCCTTCATCGTGCTTTATGCACTGCTGGTGATCTTGTCAGTTCCTACGGATTCATCATTCGTTCTATGCTCTTGACCCCCAGTTCTGCATACCCAGGTCTTCTCTTTATCTCTGGCTACCTGATCGTCTTCTCCATCTGGACATCACTCAAGGCAGGCACTCAAGCTCAGTCTGTTTCAAACCAAACTCCGTAAGCCTGTCTTACTGTAGTTAGCTGCTTTAGACTTTTTATCTTTGCCCCCTCACTGGTGGGGTTTTTGGTAACTCGAGGAGCCTATGGGCCACGACTAAAGTAGGACTTGTGGAAATGAACAGTGGTTGTAGTGACCCAGGAGGACAAATGAAGTTAACGTAAGGCCTGGACAATCTAGATATTCTCCAGGTCTCTGCTTTGGCATATACCTGCTGTGGAAGGTTTTAGATATGGGAAGTTATTGGCATTTGGAGAAAAGGACCCAATGCTGCAGGTGGCTTCCAGATCTCTGGAATTGAGAAGATTCCCTTAGAGAGATATTCAGAAGGTTCTTGTTCTGTTTTCTTTATAGCTTTAATTACATTACTACTTTGAGGTTGGATTGTCAATTTTTTTTCCTCCTTGTTTTTCCATCGTTGGACATTACCCTTCTGTAATAAATGAAGAGCTGACTCTCCTTTAGCTTAAGGTTGATTAAGTAAAGTGATCCCAGGTTGCCTGTTTTCTCCAACAGGATTTTGGTGCTCCCCAGCTGTCAGCAAATTAACCAGGAGACCATTGGGTTAGGTAGAGGCCTGAAAAGAGGTGGTTAGTGACTTGGCGGGGTGGGAGGAGTGGCAGTCATGAATTCTGGCACTCTTTCTTGGTGTTCCGGGGTTCGTGGAGTCACCACTCATACTTATGTTGGTGATGTCATATGGACAGCATTTCCTGTTGGAAGCAGTTTTTTTTTTAAAGCCAAGTGAAAATAAATGAGAACTTTTTAATTAACTTTTTTTTCCCCCTCAAATTTAGTTACAGCACTTTTAAGGAAGCTTAAGCAGCAGTCCAGGGAAAGTGTTGAAGAAAAGAGACCTCGATTATTAAAAGCCCTGAAAGAGGTGAGCTACTGTTTGCTTCTGTTTTCCTTCCCAAATATTAATGGCATCAGTATTGGATTAAAGCGAAGGCTTTTCACAGTTGATGTTGGCACTAATTGACTTTCAAGTGGCATAAGGTCCTGTCAATTAATGAAGAGTCCGAATTATAAATGCAGAAATGTTGCTCTTAGTAGTTCTCTGTCTCCTGAGACAGGGGAGAAAGATGAGAGATGATAAAATGCCACCTTGGAAGAGCTTTCCCTTTGCCAGTGCCACCGTCTGAGGCCGCTTAGTGGGGAGTCTACCACGAGGCTGCTGGGGCTGCTATCATTCCCCCCCTCTTTCTTTTTTCAAAGCCTCCTCAGAAGTGCGTTAGTCCAGGTCCTGTGCCAGCTGAGAATCGGGGTGGGTCGCCATGGATGGGCAGTGGCATGTTCTCCTGGCTCCCCTGCCACTTGTGTGGCTTTTCTGTGTCTGAGAGGAGGCAGGGCAGAGGCAGGAAGGCAGGTCCTTTCTCGTCTCTGAGAAATAGTGTTGGAGGCTCCAGGGACAGGATAGCAGGGAAGCCCTTCTGGGAAGGAAGAATCCTGGCTAGTCTACTTTAAGGACCTATAATTTTGTTAATGGAAGTACAGTCTTGCCCTTGCACATTCTGTAATTTGATATATGTTATTGGAGAGTTCCTGCTGTTAAAAAGTTCATTGCCATCCTGCTGATCTGGCTGTGGGCCCCTCCCCAGTTAGCTAGGCTGATCTGCAGACAGTATAAGACTCATACTTAATGCTTTTTCAACTTGATAAGTCCTTCTAGAATTCACATTCCTTTAGAACCCAAGAGTTCTAGAACCTTGGGTTGCCTTCATGCCACCGTGAGGCATTGGATTATGACTTCAGTGGGTGATATGTTTGTAGTATTTCGTGAATGTTTATAGGCTTGTTCAAATAATGACGATTGAATTATTGCTATTTTATTGTATTTACTACACTTTATTATTTAGACTTATTAGATCAAAATTAGATTTAGATTAGATTGGTTATATGGGTAACAATTAATTTAATTTTTTTAGGTTACTTTTTCTTGGGACTACTGTGATGTCATACTTCAAATGTAGTCAACTTATGGTCATCTAGAGATTTTTGTTTTTGTTTTCTGAAGTATGAGGATAAACAGTTCTAAAAATCAGTATTGAGTTATAAAGAATGAATATGCAAGCGATGACTCAGTGAGCTTCATAATAACTTGCTATATAAAATTATTCTATCTCAGATATTAAGAATGTTTAAAACTTTTCTGTTTACTTAAGTTAGTAAGATTGATAAGATGCAGTGGTGATGATTCATCTAAGGTATGCTTTGCTGCTTTTATGGTATCACATAATTAGGTTATTCTTTTTTTGTTTTTTTGTGTTGTGTTTTGTGTTTTGTGTTTTTTTTTTTTTTTTTAGGCATTGTCACACAGCTAGTAAGTGTCAAGTGTTTGTTCTAAGGCCGGATTTGAACTCAGGTCCTCCTTCAGGGCTGGTACTCTATCCACTGTGCCACCTAGCTGCCCCAGGTTATTCTTTATATAGGATATTTTGCTTTTAATATAATTATCATAAATTTCATAAACAATTTTTCCAAATAATGCCATTGGGCATTTTGAAAATTAAATTAATACATTTTGTATTCTCAATTCTCTGATATGTATTACCTTTTCATATCAATTTCTTTACTTTTTGTTGTTGTTAATTGTATTGTGTGAAATCATAGGACAGAATTATAAAGATTTCTATTTGGGAGTCCCAAATACCATATGAACCACTCTGGGCTAAACTAAGAGGCATAATCAGGCCCCTCTGGGCTGGAGATTCTAGAGCTATGCTGTCAAACTTAAGAGAACCAGAGAGCCACTGAATTGTATATGAGGATTCCTGTGCCCATTGATTGACTTAGAAAACCACATATTGGCATTATTGTCTCTGTCCTTTTGTATTTTTATTTATTTTAATAACTATATCCTAATTATATTTTCACTGGAGAATGTGGCCCCCTGCTGGGCAATGCATGTCTGAGAGCTGTGCTCTAGAGTGTTTGCTGTGATTTTAGCAGTAGATTAAAATGGGTTTTTCTGATTTATGGAGCTACTAACTAGATGAATTGGAAAGGGTCATTAAAAAATCTCTTCAACTGTTTGCATTTTTAAAGGTAATTACTTGTATATAGGGGCAGCAAGGCATAGTGGAAGCATATTGGACTGGGCGTTAGGAAGGTCTAGGTTCTCGTCAGTCTGTGATATAAATAACTCCGTGACCCTGGGCAAGTCGGCTCATCTGGACAGATCTCCCATCTTTCCAGGACTTACTGAGTAAGGCATGTGTGGCAGGACACGTGCATTGGTGGAGCCAGCTTCCAGCCCAAGGTTCCCAGGAGCGGCCCAGCAGTATACTCATGTCTTTTATATCCTTCTGTATGTTTTTATATAGATTTTACCTAGAAGTTTTTTAATATGCATTTGGATAATTTTTAAAAATTTTAATTTCTTGAATCTTGTCTTCTTGTTGCCTGCTTTCATTGCTTTATATGGAAAGGCTCTGTGTTTCTGCCCTTTCTGAAAGGGAATCCTGATCCTGTTAAACAGGGAATCACAGACGTGAGAGTCAGATGGGCCTCTGCAGCTGCCTTGAGTAGCTGTCCAAGAAAGGGCTCTCACTCTCATGCACCTGAGCAGGTGTGGTCCAGCCTCACTTTAAAGACCTCCTTGGAGGCTAGCTCATTCCCCTTTTGATCAGCTCGTTCCTGAAGGTCTAAATTCTCCTCTTTGCAACTTCCAGCCATCATTCCTACTCACGTCATCTGGGGCTAAACAAGGGTTGTTTTTGTTCTGCGTGGAGTCCTTCAGATCTTCTCTTCTTGGTTAAATATCTGTCCTCATATGCGGTGGAGCCCAATGCCTTCCACTGTTTTGGTGAATCCCTGAACACTCCAGCTTATCAGTGTCCTCCTTAAACCTTGAACCCCAGAGCTGAATTCAGTACTGTCATCCAACCATCCAGTGCAGAGCTCAGTGAAACAGTCAGTTTCATGTTCCTGGAAGTTGTACATCCCTTTCGTAGAGCCTCATAGTACGTTCGTTTTTTGGCTACAAGATCACACTGTTGGCTCCCAACTGGGAACTCATTCATAGGCCGCTGAACCACCCAGGTCTTTTTTCAGCATAACTGTTGTCTAACCACACCTCCCTGAATTGTACATAGTTGAAGTTGATTATTTTGGTGTCCAAATATAACCCTTCATATTTTTCTCTTTAGAATTGTATGTTACTGGATTTAGTCCAATCCTTCAGCCTTTTGACATTGTTCTAGATACTAATTCTGTCATCCAATGTGTTATCTGTATCTCCCAGCTTAGTGTCATCTGCATATTTTATGAGTTACGCCTTTTGTCCCTCTATCCAAATCATTGATGAAAATATTAAATAGCACTGGGCCAAAAACAAATCCTGGAGTATTCCATTGAAGTCCTCCTGCAACATTGATATTGAACCAGTAGCAACTGTTTTTTGAATCTGCCCATCCAAACAACTTTGAATCTATCTGATTATGTTATTTAATTGGATTCTCTCCATTTTCTCTGCAGTGTTTCCTGCCTCTGGAAATGAGATTAGACCAGCATGACGTGTTCTAGAAAGGGCTGTCTAATGACTTCCTTTCTAGGTGTTAGCCAGACATCTCTTTAATTATTTGGTCTAAGTTTTTCTAGAACTGGAAGTCAAGATCACCAGCCTGTGGTTTGCACTCTCTGTTCTCTTCTTTATTTGCTTTTAAATAGGGGCCTCTGACTGTGGCTCAGCATTCTCTGCCAGTTCTTTGAGGATCTAAGGATGTAAGTCACTTGGTCTTGTGACTTACCTTCACCCAGGACGGGTTGGTGTTCTTGGACTTATCTCTCCACTTAGGTTACCCCAGTCATTTTTCATTCAAAGCTTTCTGTCTTTGGCAGAGAAAACAACTGAATAAGAGGATGAGGCCAGCCTGCTCTCCCAGTTACCATCATCCACCCTCCTCAAGGTCTTTGTGCCTCCTTTTTCTCCCATCACAACCCCCTTTTTATTGTACTTAGCTTCCCTCCCCATCCTCAATCCATGCTGAGCTTTAGCATTCCTGACCCCATTTTTACAGGTCAGATCACGTTCTGAGAGACATCATGCCTTACTTGACCTTGCTTCCATTTTATGTACATTTCTTTTTAAACTCTAAGCAGGCTGATAAATTCCCTGTGCATCTCTGTCAGTCTCTTCAGAAAAATTCCTTGTTTTTTCTTCAGTGGATTTATTTCCCTTTTTATCTTCAGAGCTTTATTCTTGAGCATCTCTTATCCTCCTGTGCTTGGTCCGTGGGATCCTGTCTTTCCTCTGAACTCTTTGAAGTTTACTTTTTCAAAATCTAGGTGCATATTGGACTGTGCAACCCTTTCTTTTCTTTTCACTTTTTTTTGGTGGATTTTTATTTAGTATTTTATTTTCCCCCAGTTATGTGTAAAACAATTTTTAATATTCATTTTTAATTCCTTTCCTTTTCTATCACCAACTCTCTTTAGGGTCTTTGACCCCATCAGTGAGGATCAATTGTGACCCTTTGTGATGTCCTTTTACAGTATCAGGCCAGAATGTGATCACTTTCCCGGGCAGCACATTTATAATCTCCTTGTGTGTTGTGTGTAACACTCACCAGTTCCTCTTTACTGTACAGGAGTGCTGCTTGGCACGGACCCTGCCCTCAGTGGGCTTTGGTTTTGCAAAGCAGATAGACACATGCATATCCTGTTCTCTGTGTTAGTTAAAGTCCAAAGAAAGTGCTGTTTGAGATCAGAGATGGGAAAGATCACTCTGTAGTGGCTTGAGCAGGGTAAGTGTTAAGGAGGGGGTAACAAGGTTTGAGGGTTTTGAGAGCTGTCAGTTTCAGGAAGGAAGGCACATTCCGAGAAGAGGGAACATCATGAGTGAGTGAAGGTGGTAAATCTTGGGAAAGTGAGGGGCAGACCTGACTAGCTGAAGTGGAGATTTCATAAAGAGGAGTAGTGGGATAAGAAAGCTCACTTGGGACCTCATTTTGAAGAGTTTAGAACCTTCTATGATGTTGTGATTAAGGACGTGACAAAATTACTTGGTGACAGTGTGCCAGGATGGCTTTAGGATGGGTCCTGCCAGATCCAGGGAAGCAGGTTAAATGGTTGTTGTAGTACCCCAGGCTTGAGGGAATAACGTGAACTAAGGGGATGGTAATGGAAAAGAAGAGTTGAGGTCTTAGCAAAGCTGTGACTTCGGAACCTCAGGACTTAGTGACTGACTGACTGAGCCAGTGACCAGGGAAAAGGGAGCCCAGAGTGACTAAGGTTTCCAGCTTAAGCACCAAGGAAAACGATGGTGTCATGGGGGGAATTTGAGTCCACTCTGTGGTGCTGAAGGGCAGAGAAGTTGGACGTTAGTCACCCACTGCTGCTCTGGGGACAGGACAGGGTTCAATCTGAGGCTGTGTTGGCAGTGTAGAAATAGGAGATTCTCCATGGCTGCTGGTGTCAAGCTGTGAAGAATTGGTGGTGGGAAAGTTTGTCCTAAGCTGAAGGAAGGCTTTTTTTTTTTAATTTATTTTTAGTTTTCAGCATTCACTTCTACAAGATTTTGAGTTCCAAATTTTCTCCCCATCTCGTCTCTCCCCCCACCCCAAGATGGCATGCATTTTGAGAACCCCTTCTAACTGCCCTCCCTTCTGTCTCTCCCCCCTTCTCTTATCCCCTTCTCCTTCAATTTTCCTGTAGGGCAGGATGGATTTCTGTACCCCATTTCCTGTATATCTTATTTCCCAGTTGCATGTGAAAACAATTTTTTTTAACTTTTGTTTTTAAAGTTTTGAGTTCCAAATTTTCTCCCTTCCTCCCTCCCCACCCACCCTCATTGAGAAGGCATTCAACTTGATACAGGTTATACATGTGTAGTCATGCAAAACACTTCCATAGTAGTCATGTTGTGAAAAACTAAGTATATTTCCCATCATCCTATCCCACCCCCTATTTATTCTATTCTCTCTTTTGACCCTGTCCCTCCTTAGAAGTGTTTGCTTCTGATTACCCCCTCCCCCAGTTTGTCCTCCCCTCTATCATCCTCCTGCTCTCTTGTCCCCTTCCCTCCCTATTTTCCTGTAGGGTAAGATAGATTTCCATACCCAATTGAGTGTGTATGTTATTCTCTCCTTAAGCCAAATCCAATGAGAATAAGATTCATTCATTCCTTCTCACCTGTTTCCCCCCCCACTGTAAAAGCCTTTTCTTGTCTGTTTTGTGGGAGATAATTTACCCCATTCTACCTCTCCCTTTCTCCTTCTCCTAGTATAATGAAGGAATACTTCTTTACTTCCCTCTCTTCAAAGTCGTACTATCTGGGTTCTCCTTATGTTGTTGTTGTTCTTAATTTAAATTTATTTATTTTTAGTTATGCTCTTCAGGAACATAACGTTTACATGTTGGTTCTCAGGAAAGAGTTGGCTAACCTAGTTCTTCTCTGGAAAGTTAGCCATTTCCCTTCTCTCTGAACCTTCCAGTTTCTTATCGTTGTGGAAACAGAGGAAACCTCATGTAATCTGTGGGCTTTCCTGCCATCACAAGAGCTGTGGATAAGAGGAGTGGATAAGGTGATCCGTTCAAATTTTTGTTGTTATTCAGTCATTTCAGTTGTGTCTGACTCCATGTCCCCGTTTGGGGTTTTCTGGCAAAGATCCTGGAGTGGTTTGCCATTTCCTTCTCCAGTTTATTTGACAGATGAGGAAGCTGAGACAAACAGGGTTAAGTGACTTGCCTGGGGTCACACAGCTAGTAAGTGTGTGAGGCTGGATTTGAATTCAGGAAGATGAATCTTTCTGATTCCAGTGCTCTATCCTCTGCACTACTTAGCTCCCCATCAATGCAAATAAAAAGTATTAGACATATTCTGCTTGTAGAAAAGTATAAAACCTCCAGAGTTGATATAAATTACTTAATGGTAGCTCAAGAAATTGTTTACTGTTACATATTCATAGACCAATTTGAGGAATTTCCCAGGTGACCCTCGCCTGCCTAGTAAGACATGACGTGCCCTCTGTTAAGAAGGTGTAGGATTGTGTTCACATCTCTCAGGCTTAAACTGCCAACAGAATTATTGACCCTTGGGAAAGTGAGTCCTCCTCTCTGCCTCTTCCTCTCCATCCCATTTTGGTCCATAGTACCTGTCACATAGTGAATACATAATAAATGCTTATTGAGTGCCTGACATCAGTACTTTTTCAAGTGGAAAAAGGTTATTTCAAAAGAAACAAAGTAAGAGTTATATTTTTATTTTCATTCTTTCCTAAATACCGTGCTTTGTAAACAGCATTGTTTATTTTATTGTGTGTCCATAACATGTTTGATAAAATTTTATACAAATTAAACCCTGGTTTTCACTGTTTGAGAGAAATATTTTAATATAGTTTAGATGACATTGATTTGTACAAACATGGAAAAAGACACAGCTGTTCTATGAATACTGATATCTTACTGAATCATTACTGCCTTTTTTTTTCTTGTGTTTCGACTTAGACAGTACCTTAACGATCACTTAGTTCAACCTCATCGTTTTACAGATGCTGACCCTGAGATCCAATCAAATACACACACTTTGTAAGTGGTAGATCTGGGATTGACCCCAGGAGTTACGGCTCCAGATTAAGGGCTCTGCAAGTGTTGGAGTGGGAATTGAACCCAAGGTTTTCCTGACTGCACATTCTGTGCTCCCTCCAGTGAATGGCTTTTATTACGTGTAATTCAAAGGATACTGTTTTTGATGTTAGGAATTTGACATGGGCCATAGACATTGGATCGTTAGTAGACATTCTTTGGATGAATCCTGTCCTTCTGTTAAGTGAAAACTTATTTCAGTGAAAATTCTGGCTGAAGGTTAATAGCACATCTTTATTAACACTGAAGAGAATCTAAAAATCAGACTAACTTCTACAGAGATAACCTCACAGGCGCACACTTTGGAAGGCCATCTAATCTACCATAGCCCCAAATAAGGCCTCTCCAGTATTCCAAATAACCCTAGCCATTGCTTGGAGGCTCCAGACCTAGGGAGGCAGCTGGCCTCTGCCTCTTGCTGCTTCTTCTTGCTTCTGCCTCTGTTCAACCCCTACTGTGCCTAATTCTGTTCTAACTTGGGCCCCCTTTCGAATGGCAGCCCTTTACATACTCGAGACTTGTCCCTCCAACCAGGTTAAACAACCTCAGTCACATGCTGTCGTCTCAGGTCCCTCACCATCTTTCTGGTAACTTCCTTGGAACTCTCTTCAGGTTGTCAGTGTCCTTCCCAAAGTGTAATTTATGAATCAGAATTTAGCGTTTTGATTTGTCTCCTTTTTATTACTGTGGAATATTTTGCATATGATTTCCTTTAATCATTCATAGACTTAAGAAAATTTCAGAGTTTTTGGTTTTTGTTTCTTTTTGTTTTTGGTTTGCGTCATTGTTGTAAGCTGGTTGGTAATATTGGTGAAAAATTACATCAATAAGAAAAGCTCCATTTGTCTATTTCAGTTCTTTTTCATATTTCGTTTAAAATGTTTCTGTAACATCTTATTGTACGAATATATGAAAGAAAATGTTCTATTGCTTTGTAAATTTTACAGCTGACCAAGTTATGTTTTTAAGCCCTAAATATTTGAGGTTAGTTCTGATTTTACTACCATTCCTCTCCAATTGAAAAAATTAGTTTTTTTAAAAAGATAATGTTAAGCAAATTTAAGAGCTGTTAAATGATGTATCTTTAGTAACTGTTAATATTTCATTTCTCAGCTAGGTGACTTTTATCTAGAGCTTCACTGGGATTTTCAAAGCTGGGGTAAGAAGTGTGCTATATTTTACTTTTAAACTGGTTACATATGCAGACTTGCAAGTACAAATGTGATTTTTGAAGAATTTATCAACATAACAAGTATCACTGGCATGAATTTTATTGAGTAATTTCCATCATAATAAATTTTGCATGTGAATGGTTTTTAAAGCCTTACAGGTATACTTAATATCCAACTTGAATAGTCAGTTCCATTGTTCTTTGAAAATTGAGTTGCGCTCTACTCCATTACAAATGACTTTGACAAAAACTCTGAACAGAGAAATTCTAATAATTTTACCAGTGCAAGGCAAAAGTTTTTAAATTGCTGGGAGAGATAACAAAGGATTTCTTGGATTATATTATTTACGAGAGTTTAAAGCATGTTTGAGTTGTTGGAATGTGAAAAAGAACTTGGTTATACATGATTTGACAGTATTTACATTTTTTCATCCTTTGACCATTCATATCTTGCTTCCTTTATTACTGATTTCCTTTCTGTCTCACATTCAGTTTATTAATAGACTGTCTAATTGAGTTCTAAAAGACCTTCATGTTTATAAGGTGTTCTATTTGTAATTTTGCAATAGCAAGATTAGTCACTTCTCGTTTTAAAGAAGATGAAACAAAATTCGGACTAAACCTTTATATCAAAGTAGTCTGATCTCATTGATAATAATTACTGTCTGGTATAGTTTTTCATCACTTTATAGTTCATCATTCTAAAGAGTAAATAGAATGAATATTTCTCTGTGGTAGTTGCATAAGAAATTCATTGATTAAGGGGCATATATAGTATGTACTCTGCCTTATTTTTAATCATGAAACATTTTTCACATATAACATATGGGAATAGCATAATAAAATTCATTACTCTGTCTTAAATGATCTGGTTAACTTGAAAAAAAAATTATGTTCCTGAGTTTCAGTTTTCTTTTTCCTAACCTGTGAAGTCCTAAATTACAGGATGGACTTTAATGTGTTGGCAGACGTATTCTTGAATGGCCAATATTGAGTATTTGTGATATTTTATGAATATAATGTGATCTTGTGAATTTTAAGATGTGAAAACATCTTGCTGTTGACCACAAGATAATTACAAAAGTAAATATGATTAATAGTGGTATACAGAAATACATGAGATTTAGCATCTGCCTTCTGTATGTTGAATCTGGTCTCTTTGTAGATAGGTGTGCCAGTCTTTTACTATGGTCATACCCAGATATGTAAAACCTTAAGGGCTATTCAGAACCAAAGGAAACACAATCACAGAACCTTATAGTATCACAAGTTTTTCCAAAAATTATTTATATATGTATATATAAATAAACTTATGATACTGTAAGATCCTCATGGTTAGAAGTACAAAGTACCACTTTAGTGTATTGGAGCGAGCGAGAGAGAGAGAATAAATATTTTTCTGTCATCCTTTTTTTCCTCCTGATTGAGATATAACTTTATTAAAACCGTCAATTATAATTAGTTGCTATGTTTAATAGAGGTAAGTAAATAGTGTTAAAAGAATGTAAAAAGCTTGAACAGCAGTTTGATACTTTCCCCTTAACCTCGAGTTGCCATCCCTGCCAACTCAGCCACATGCTGCTTTTGTCCCACTCTGGACCAGAAGACCCTTTTCTAACTCTTCTTGAAGTCAGGCCCTCCCCAGGGTTTGTACATAAGCAGAATGGACTTCAGATTAAAAATATTAACCAAATAGAGGTTGTTTCCCAATAAAACCCTAAAATGTAAACTATTCGTTAGATATAACATTAGATATAACTATTCATTAGATATAACTGTACTGTGCTTACTCTCACAGCTGTCAGTTGCCTTTCTCTGGGTCAGCCAGAGCTTTTGTTCTCCTTCTTAGGCCATTGGAACTCATTATTGGTGCAGCCTGAAGGAGCTCGGAAGGCAGGGCTGTCTTTTCCTTTCACTCCTTTAGGTCCCTCTCCCTCTATGGGGAAAAGAAATAAATTTGACCCTACAATTATGTGTAATAGTAGTGGGAGAGTGCCTTTCCAGGCATGTTGAGTAGTTTGCTGATCGCTTGAGAAGGAAATTTCCTTCTCATCAAAAATCTCTAGCTCTAAATACAATATGGTGAACCTTGTGCCACCCATGTCTTACTAAGAATGTATTTATAGGCTGCACAAAGATTTTTAAAAGAGATTTTTGGGGAAGAAACCCATTTGGTATTAACAAGAGTCGGGTGGGTGGTCTCTGAAGATGAGGTCAATTGAGATACATAGGGAAAGTACCAACTGTAGACCTCTGTGTAGAATCACAGAAGGAGCTCCAGCTTGATCGTCTTACAACTGGCCTCAGATTATCTTTGGGTATTATGACAGTGTATTCCCAGCAGTGTCCTGGGATGCCATGATGATCCAGGTGATGTGAATAGGAGTTTTGTGAGTGATGTTAGTGATATTTTTTCCCTGTAAAGTATTAAATGTAAAATCCTGTATGTATCGAAATACTAATTTTTACATCAACTTTAGAGAGGAAAATGGGCCTTAATTATTCCTTTTTGCTTTAAAATTTCCTTCCCTTTATCTCTGGGATAGTCCATAACCCCAGACTCTGTCTGATTAATATTATGTATCTTACTAGTAGTTTCAGATCCATAGGCATTCCAGAAAATATGTTTAATGCTTTCACATGACAGCCTGTCAGATAGGTGAAGGGAGCTGTCATGTGTTCCCCCGAGTCTTCTTTCCTTAACCATCCTTGAATGGCCTTGCTTTGTTGCTGTATCCTCCCCTGCACAGAGTCCTTATCGGTGTGCTCTCTGAGATATTACGCCTTGAACTGCCCTGAATCCTCTGGGCAGCTGCCTGGGGACAGGAGAGTGGCACTGGAAACTCTCTTCTTCCAGCACTTCTCTTAATGAGCCCTTGGTGCACATGAGCTCTTCAGTTGCCATGTTATCCTTTGGAAACCTAATGAAGTTGCAATTCACCTAAATCCATAAATCTGCTTCATTTGAATGAATATTTTAGCCTTGTTCCCCCTTTGCCTTTTGTATAGGTGATTTTTTTATTTCAGTCTGAATATAAGACTTGAATTTCAAACCTGGCCTGTCCTGCTAACTTCCTGGTTGACCTTGGGCAAGTTGCTTCCCTAGAGGCCTCAATTTTCTCATCTATAAAATGAGGCAGTTGACATTCCTTCATCTCGGTCATTGATTTTAAAAAAGGAAAAGCCCAAGTAAAGAGCCTTGCAGCATTAGAAACCTTCTTTAGCCAGTTTTGATTATGCCTTATTAACATCTGGCCCACATTTCTCCACCTTTACCCAAAGGATGAAGGATCATAGAATTTCATAGTGGACAGAAACACATTGTATGGCAGGATCCAAATTGTCCAGACTGTAAGAACCATTGAGGTAGAGCTCCGAGCCAATAACCACTTATTAAGGGGACCCGGCCTCTTCAGGGAATGGGACCTCCAGTCTTCCTCATGTTTGGAGAAGCCCTCTTTCCCCAGGGTCTCACCTGTATAGGGCTTGATCCCCAGAAATGCAGAAGCAAAGTAAAACACAAAGTCCTCTTGTTTGATAGACAGGGCCAGAAATGATGTGTCAGCATATAGGTTGTCACAGCATGGGCAAGGAGGCTAAGTGGTCATAAAATGGGCCCCTCCTCATGCTGGGCAAGTGGGTGATCAAGAGATACAAAGATAAGTTGGAGGACTTTGCATATCATGTCAAGACATCTTACCCACACTGGGTTGGTCATGCCCTCATCACCCATAAGGGTGGCAGTCCTCTAGTCCAACATTATTGTGGTTAGGCTGGTATGCTTTATAACAGGTTAGTGAACATTGAACTTATAGCTTGTGGTTTAAAGTTTGAGGCCTATTATAAGGAAGAATTTATCTTATCTAATTATCCCTAGTTATAATATGTGAAAAATATGTATTTAATATATGTAATTAATGCTTATACTGATATTAGTTAACTAGACCAACTAAATGTATATTACTAGATGAGTATGTCACTCCTGATTGCTGAAATCATTACTTCTATGGAGTCACACTGAACTGGTTAATACTGATTGGAGTAAAATGGGGGTCCAATAAATCATTACTTTTGCCATATAACCCAACTGTTTCTACATCTATACTTTATCCCAGGCCTCTCTCCATTCCCCTCTGACCTTTTTTCTTGTTTGAATCTCCTTATCTAGCAACAAAAATGAAAAAAAAAATATGTTGGTAGAGAACTCTCAGTTCTCCTCTCTTTATCTATTGTTTCAGTTAGTCCTTGTTACAAGGCCCAGCTGGAACCAATTCCGTTTTACCCCTAAGGGGACCTTGTGGACTTTGTAAAACAGTTGGGCCACCCCCACAACTATCAGTTGTACTGGTGAGGTCTTGTTTACTTGCTTGAGTTGAGTTCTTTGCCTAGATCATTTCATGGCCCTTGATGAGGGCATTTGTTTAAAGCCCTCGGTCTTCATCAGTAGCAAGATTTTCCTTTTTCCTTCATCTTCCCTTTGCCTCTTGGCCAGATGTGGGCTTCTATAAGGGGCTGGAACTTGGCTAACGTGAGCTCCCTGAGCTCTCTCTGCATAATGATCACTTTGCCAAATTGTCATAAGCCTAAAGTTTTGTGGCATTACTTACCAGTCGTGTAAAATTGCAGAGCATTGGGGTTTGACTGTTTAAAAAGGTGGTTCTCACTGTCAGATGATTGTTTTTGTCTTTCCTTTGAGTCATCTCCCTGATTCTTCTTTGCCTCTTTTTCCCTAACCCTAATTCCTTTTTCAACACAAACGGTACCAGCTGTGTAACTCTTTGAGCTCACCACATTTTAATCCTGATAATTCTGTATTCTGAAATATTTAATTACTGTTGCCTACCCTTTTTGCCCTTTTTCTTCCTGCAATGTATTTCCTTCGTGCTTTCATTTGTATTGCATATCTCAGCTTTCAGAATACTTTCATACATCTCTGATGACCATGGGAGGTGAGCAGGTCAGAAATGACCATTCCCATTTTATAGATGAAGAAGGAGGCTGAGATAATTAAGTGACTTATCCAAGGTACCCTGGTTAATAAAATGGGGGACCAGAATTGAGCCCAGTGGTTCTGACTCAAGTCCATTGTTCTTTCTCCTTGGGCTAGGGTGCCTAAAGTTAATATCAAATTGAGCTTCATAAACCAAAGCATTAAAAAATCACTCTAGCTGTAAGTTTTTTTTTTTTTACCAGAGAAATTTATTCTTACTGCCTATGTAACTGAAATTTTATGCTAGGTGCTTTGGGTAGATTGTAACAAGCATGTACTTAAATGAGCCCACAAATGATTTAAATGCGCTATTGGAAAAATACAGTATTTTTCCATCTACTACTAAATTCTTGGTGAAAATTAAACTGATAGTTATTCAGATGTTTTATCTTAAGCTTCTTTATGAAGTTTGTTTTTACTTGAAACTATCACATTGTTGAGTTTCTGTTTGTTGAGAACTGAAGCTTGGCCAATAGGATTCAAATGGCAGATGTTAGAATTTTTTTTGCAACATTGTTTTTCTAGTAATGTCAGTAAATTTAATATGAAGGCGTCGTGGAATTTAATGATAACGTCTCTGAATTTTCCTTTGCTTCACGTAGCACCGAATACACAGGAAAGAGGGGGTGTTAGTAAAAAGTTGGAAGGAAGGAAGGTGGAGCAGCTGTATAGACCTATATAGATAGAAAGGCATACAGTTACTACCTTTCTGGCCCCCTGCTTTTGGAGAAAAGAGGAATTTTATCTACACGGATAAGAGCAACTATTGTTTTTATGTTGGCAGTGTTTAACTTTGAGATGCCTAGAATGACCCAGTCAGTGTTGACCCCAATGGCCAAGCACTACAGGATGTCTAGAAATATGCAAGAAGAGCCCCATTAATAAAAATCTCCACAGAAGAGGACCCAGCATTATTTTTTCCAGCTAAACATTTGGATGATCTATCATTTCTTCCTCACTAGATGTCATGTATTAGGTCTTTATGAAACACCTGTAAAAGGTGCTGTATAGAATACAAAAATTTAATCACAACCTCAAGCATTTACTTTGTTCCCATTTCTCTGTGTAGAATTACATGTAAACAACTCTTTATCTGAATTTAGATAGACCACAATTAAAATCATATTTGCCAGAGCACAACTTTAGCCTATAAAAGGGGTTCTTAATCCTTAAGAGTCTAAGGAAGTCTGGGGATAGAGTTTAGGGGGAGTCTCCGAGTGTTAATGAAGGGAAAAAAAATTGTCTTTATTTTCAACAACCTGTAATTAAAATTTACCATTTCCTTCAATTATGAACAGAGGCAACACCACTCGTGAGAAGGGGTCCAAAGACTTTCCCAGACTGTCACAAATGTTCCGAGGACACAGCAAAGGTTTCACTCCCCAGGCTTACAATATGGGCCTGAATCTTGTGCCTGCATGTAATAGGTGCACCCACAGGACCTGCTGTATTCTCTGATGTGGCGTAGACTGTGACCTCTTTTCAAGCCTGTTCAAAAAGAGTTAGTTAGCTGGAGGAATTGCAAGTATCTCCTGGCTCTTGGACCCTCCACCCAGCAGTACTGACAGGCAGCTCCTGTCCTGGACACGAACAGACATCCAGTACTCTTTGTTGGCTGTAGGAACTCCTTCCTCCTCCTTCTTCTCTTCTACGAAAGCTTCTCTTACCCCCTTTCCTTACACTCCTCCTCACCTCCCTTACAAACCTGACCTTGACCTGAGACTGGCTCATGGTGGTCTCAAGTTGCAGCTCATAGCTCATCTTCTTATAGATAGAAACATCCCATGAGTTACTCAGACATCATATCTACTCTGATTATAGTTTAAATAACTTTCTAAAGTTTATTTAAAGCTTTCTAAAATTGCTTGAGAATGTTGCTTTGTTGGGTCCTGATTCTAACCTTAAAGCAAATTAGCCTTAGAAATTATCTCTTTCAACAGTAATTATAACACTTTCATAGAATTAGTGAAATTTTAGCATTGCTGTTATACTTGCATAAGTGTTTAGTGGGTTTCTCAATGCATTAATTATTTAATCTTTTCTATTACAAATATAGTGCCTTTACTTTCCCGAATTCTGCCTTCTGATGCATGTAAAATATACAAACAAGGTATCAATATCAGGTAAGATGATTTGCTTTTGTCACTGTGGCGTGGAAAACTTTGCCATGTTTCTAAATGCTTTGCTTGACTCAAAGTTTACTTTTATTTTCCTTTCTGGTAAGGATTTAGTTTCAAAACAATTGGATAGGCATTGTAGGTAACTTCTGGGAATATGTTATAGAGTGTAATAGAGGGTTATTTTACTAAAAAAATTTTTAGGTTTTAGCGTTTAGAGTATTATAGTATAGTTTAAATTGAATTGGCAAAGTGATTGTTTTCTTGTCTCAAAAATGCAAAGTAGGATAGCTTTTTATAAATTGAATGAAAGCTTTAAAAAATTACCTCAGTGTTGAATAAGATGGAATCGTTCATTTCATAAAGTTTATAAATTAGAAATATATTGTGGTTTAAGAATCCTTTTGGAAATAATGTTTTTGTTTGTGGATGCCTTTTAAAGGTAATAGATGATTAATTTCTTGTGTATTAGAATGATTTTGTCCCCGATTTGGTTTCTTGTTTAAAAGAAATTACATTCAGTTCCAACTTCTGATAGCTTGAAGAAGGCAATCGTCTTTAAAAAAACAAAACACCTTTGTTGTTTTGAATGACATCGAAGAGAGACCTTCCGTGTTAGGCCACATGGAATGGGGCGCACAGGGTTGAGTGTTGGGGTTGGCATCGAGAAGACTGCACTTGGCACTTTGGGCTCAGACACATGCTAACTGTAGGGCCCTGGGCAAGTCATTTAACTGTCTTCTGCCTCAATTTCCTCATCTACAAAATGGGGATAGCATGTGTCACTTTACCTCATAGGGGTGTTGTGGGGGTCAAAGGAGATATAATTTATGTAAAACTTCCTGCGAACCTTACGGTGCGCTTGGTAAATGCCAGCTATTTGCTGTCATGGAACAATATTCATTCAAGAAACATTGGGCCGTCAGACACAGTTCTTGCTTTACCTAAGTTCCTCAGACCTCTGTGTAAAGTGATTTTTACATAAGGCAGATTTCCCCCTACCCACGCACTTCACTTAGCTTACATAGTAGAGGCACACATAAAACAGTATCTTAATGCAAGTCATAAAATGTACACACATTAAGTACTGGGCCTTGGGAATAAACAGAATCCTGAAGCCCCTGGCTTTTGTCACCGGGGGTTGGCTGGGCAGCTTTTTTGAGTGACGCTGGGAGAGGTGTTTGGACGTTCCCTCTCCTTCCTCCCTCTTATAGCTGGCCACAACAAGCAATGTTATCCTCAACTAGTCTTTGAACTTTGGAAAATTTTGAAATATTTGGATTCATTTTTTCAACCCAAAAAACCATTCACTCAGATGATGAAATGCTTCCCTCAGCTGTTTCTCTTTGTAAATCATTTTGGTTTGACTTCAGGCTCCAGAACTTCCTGCTCTTCTGTAGTCTTTGCTCCTTGCAGCTCAGTCAGCACCTCCAAGTCATTCTCATTCACCTCTATTTCCAATTCTTGTGCTAATTTCACAGTCTTGTTATCACTTCTTCCGACATTTCATCTTTGCCAGATGCATGAAAGATGGGAGTGAACTGTGGGCATATTTTTTTTTTCTAAGCTCTCTTCATCCATGTTTCTCTTACATCTTCCTATACCTTTCAGAATTCTTTATGTAAAGTTGCATTTGCATAATGTGAATCTATGTAAAGCAAGAACTGTTTTCAAAGCACTGGACTCAAAGTGCTGAGATTCAAAGTTTCAAAAAGGCCCCATTCTTGTTCTCCAGGGGCTTCCATTCCATTGGGGTAGGGAATGGGGAGAATATGGACCTTATCATTGTGATAAGGCATGATGAGAGATAGGGGCTTTGGGAAGAATTTGAGTTGGTTTTTAGGTTTTTAATAACATTTAAAGGGAAATCTTTACAATTTAATTGTTGATAAAATGACTCCATGACAGAATTTAAAAATCTATTTTGGTGTCAAATAGAAGCAAACTATATTTTGAACTAGGAAGAAATCCCATGACTAGGAAAGGCCCAAAAAGGGAAATTATAAATTAACTATAACCCAGTTTACATTCTGTTTGTCAGTGGTGATGAAATAAATAAGTAGGACAAATTTCCTGAGGACCAGAATCTGAATCTTACCCATCTTTACGTCCCCTGAAGCATTAGCACAGTGCTTTACACGTACCAACCTTTCAGTAAATGTTGAATGAATGAACACCATTGATAGTAACATAATAATGTCACAAACAATAAATCTTTAAGGACTTAAAGGAGTCGTTTGTGTGATGTGGAAGGCTGAAGTCAGGTTGTGTTCTTTAAAACATCATGAGTTTGTCTTAGGAATTTGATTATGAAGTATGGTAATTTTAGATTTCAGTACAGCTGTTTTATTAGGAGTTATGTGCGTCGAGTTCTTCCAGCGTTTGTTTAATCGACCTCTTCTCCACAGGCTTGACACAACTCTCATAGACTTTACTGACATGAAGTGCCAACGAGGAGACTTGAGCTTCATTTTCAGTGGTGACGCAGCGCCCTCTGAGTCGTTTGTAGTGTTAGATAACGAGCAGAGAGTTTACCAGCGAATCCATCATGAGGTGAGAGCTGCTACTGGGGGTGTCTCGGGGGCCGGAGGCGGAGGATGTTGGGGGTTTTGTCACTGTGGAGTTACTCCAGTGTCTAAGAACAGAGTACAACAGACTGCGTAGTTTGCTTCTCTGTACTTCTCTGGCTGCTGGCCTTCCTCCTTTGTTGAATCCGTACTCTCCAAGGTCACCTGTTCTTTTCCTGGTCCAACTCAGTATTCTTTTCTTAATTTGCGTCTTTAGGAAACTTTAAGGTTTTTTTCCCCTAGTAAACACTGTTGACTATTTATTCCTCAAAGGTCACTGTTCTCTTGGCTTCCGTAATGTGATCTTTTTGGTTCTGCCAGCTTTTTGAACACTTGCTCTGCGTTTGCTGATTGTTCTGCTTGTGCTTAAACTTTTTACTTAAGACTTTAATTCATTCTCACGAGTGTCTTCCGCCCCCTGAAATTTAGCATGCCCCCATCCTGCTTTCCACAATTTTGAGGGTGGAGTATGCTTATACATGTCTGTGGGATTATGCCCTCTGTTAGGAAGAGAGGTGGCCTAGAGTAGTTGGTAAAGAACCGATTCTACCAGTCAGGTTGGCCGAGGTTTGACTACTACTTCTGACGTACACCAGATGTGTGATCCTGGGCAAGTCTTTGATCATTAGAGAGTGGTGAGTCTGCATTGACAGGTGACAGTTCCTCTCTTGAAGTCTGCTGAATCAATAGAATCACAGGTCCCAGTGAAAAATCTGTGAGGAATGGTAGTGTGGCATAGTGGATAGAGTCAAATACTAGACTTGAAATCTGAAAGACCTGGGTTAATTTCCTCCTTTTGACCCTAACTGGGTGACCGAGGTCTCGTCATTTAAACTCTCTAGACTTTAGTTTCCTCATCTGTCAAATGGTTATAGTAAAAGCTATAGCACCTACTTCTCGGAGTTGTTTCATAGCTCCAGTGATACAATGTTTGTCAAACACTTGTCATTTAGTTAGCATTTATAAAGTGCCTACTGTGTGCCTGACACTGTACTAAGTACTGGGGATTCAGTGAAAAGCAGAAGACTATTCTCAAGGAGCTCAGTCTTACTCGGGAGAGAATGTGCCAGCAACTTTGTACAAGCCGGTTATATACAGGAAGAATTGGAGATCAAATAGGGAAGAACTTCATTTTAAGGGGGAATGGAAAGAGTTTCTTGCCTGTGGTAGGACTGGAAGGAAACCAGGAGGGAGAGAGAACGTAAGAGTATCTTGATTAAGGAATAGCCAGGAGGCCGGCATCACCAGATCACACGTGTAAGGAATAAGAAGACTAGAAAGGCAGGAAGGGGCCAGATTTTAAATTGGATCCCGGACATAATAGGGAGCCACTGGAGTTGATTTAAGAGTGAGAGAGAGAGAGAGAGAGAGAGAGAGAGAGAGTGTGTGTGTGTGTGTGTGTGTGTGTGTGTGTGTGTGTGTGTGAGAGATGATAAGACTTGTACTTTGGAAAGATCATTTTGGCTGCCAAGTCTCTTGCATTTATTGGCTTTTCATTTAAGATTAAGATTTCTTTGGAAAAATAGATGATGTTGTTACTTAGGGAGTATTTTACCCATTTGAAGTGATGGAGACCCAATCCGTGAAACAGAAACAATAAGAGAATGGTCATGTGCTAGATTGTGTGGCAACAGGACGTCATGGTAATCTGGAGAATTCTGTTAGAAGCGAGTGTGTGCTGAAGTAGGTGCAGAAGAAGACACTCTGGAGACTGGCCTTGAAGGAAGGATTCGAATTGAGAGAGAGGGACGAGTGGAAGTTTTTGGTGTTTTTGGAAGGAGGGGTGGAGGATGAAGAACAAAAGTGAATAGAATAGAAGCATAATTATAAAACAGAAAGAAAAGCCTGACTAGAGCAGCCATTTCATTCTTGGGGAGAATTGGACACAAGGTTGCATAAGTGTAGAATCTGAAGGGCAGCCACTGAACACAGTGCCTGGCACAAAGTAGGAGCTTAATAAAGTCTTGTAAATTGACTCACTGATTGAATGAATTGGGTAAGATTATAGAAAGTCTTGAAAGCCAAACAGAAGAATTTGGACTTTGTGCCTGGGCTAGTAGGAAGGTGTTCAAGAGAGTAACATGAATCTTGTCATGAGTTGAAAGACCTCAGAAAACATCGAGTGCAGCTTACGTATGACATTTTTGAGATGGTAATTCATTGTAGGAAATGGTGAAAGGAGTCTAATGAAGCGAGGTAGGACCATAGGCACTAAGATTGGCCGAGAAGGGTGAAGGCCCTGGCCTGGCTGTGAGTGGATAGAGATTATAACATCTGAATCAGCTTTTCCAGAGTCATTGGCACTAGGCCATTTGGGAGAAGTAGAAGAAAACAAAAGCACAGCCAATAGAAGTAAAATGTGGCTCCCCTTTTACATCTCAGCAAACTGAGGCCCAGAGAGGTCAGCGGGCTTGTTTAAGGGCCGCTAGAAGCAAATTTGAGAACTGAACTTTGTCAGAGTCTCAGCTGGAGAGCACCAGCACCATGGAGCCATGAGGTAAGAGACCTTCCTACCCGGTAATCAACAGCTGCTCTGGCAGTCTCTGTTTGAAGACTTCAGAGACGGGAGACTGGCCTCCTCATGTGGTCGCCCACTCTTCTTTGGGAAGTTTTTCTTAGATCAAGCTTCAGTTTCTCTTTGTGTCTTTTGCCCCATTAGTCCCAATAGTCTGGGTTTGACCAAATGGTATAAATTCTATAATTCTTCAATGGGACTGCTCTTCCCATGTTTGAAGACAAGGTTATTACCCGTAACTCTACTCTTTTATATGCAAAATATATCTGGTTTCTTTTACTGATTCCTAGATTATAGCAACTAGAGACCCCTAAGTCATCCTAGGTGCCCTTTTTTGGAACCTCTCTAGGTTATCAGTGTCTTTCATAAAATGCGAAATCAAATCTGAACATAAATCTGCAGATGAGGTCTGACCTGGGCTGAGGACAATGGGACTGTCACCTCCTGTAGCCGTGACATTGTGTGCTTCATTTCCCATCTGGCTGCCTAGCTGTGGAACATGTCTGAGTTCTTCCCCACAGCCCAGGAAGCTTGTCACTGGGATAGTATCAGCATCCTACAAGATCCAAATAAGCCTTTCTGGAGGATAGAGCCATGAACTCTTCAGCCTTCATTCAAGGAGAGAGCTCAGCTCAGACATTTCTAACTTCTCACTTAGCTACCCTCCTTGAGAACTTTTCCATTATGTCCCCGAGCCAGAGGTCTTCCTTAGCTCCCTTTTATAAAATGGCTTCTCTCATTAGGTTGTAGGCCCCTTGAGGACATGGACCGTCTGGTTTTGTATTTGTATCGCCAGCGCTTTGCTTGGTGTCTGACACATGGTGCTGTGTGAATGCACACTGCTGTTGTTGTGATTAATTATTCTAGCGCTTGACCCTGTAGTCAAGGAAGACCTATTCTGGCAAATCACTAACCTCTAAGCCTTTGTTTGCTCACCTTTCAAATGGGGATAACAGTACTTAACTCACTTGGGCCTTGTTGGTGTCAAATAATATAATTTGCAAAGCTATGAAATTAGCCGCTATTATTGGTTACCATACCACGTTGTTGAATAATAATGCACTTGCCTCCCACTAAATCCCCTAGACCCTTTTGTAGGCAGGACACTACCAGCTGATGACTTTCTTGTTCAGCACTTTTGAAGGTGACTTCATTTGAGACCCGCTTCCATGTGGGCATGGAATCATTAATGACTAGTTTTTGGGTCCAGTCATTCAACTGATTGAATTTAGAGTATTGCCCTCATTTCAGCAGCAGGGGAGACTTTGTCCAGTGTTTTCCTGAATTTTCAGTAAACTGTCTAAAGCATCCCCTGGATTGTAGTACCATCACACAATCCTATAAAAAAGCAAAAAATATTAACTTGGCAGGATTTGTTGACAAAATTATGCTGGGTTTTTGTGATGATTTGTCTTTTTCTAATAATTTCATTATTAGTTATAAAACAGAGAATATATAGAACATCATAATATTCATTGACCATTTCTTAAGAGGATGCTCTAGAATTTCTGTCTGTGAGTCTGGTCAGACTTCATGGCCTCTAGTTTAAACACTCCATTCTCCTCCCACTTGAAAAATGGACTGTGAGCCCATCTCCCAGACCCTAGTGCCTCTTCTGCTGCTGGTGGTCCTTGCAGACCAGAGGCCCCATGGTCACCTTCACCAGCTCTTTCACTTGAGTCCTTGGTGTTTCATTTCTCCAGGGGTTGGGATTTCTTCAAGGGGCAGGTGGATACTCTTTTGTTATTTTTCTACAAATCATCTTTTTATGTCCTTTGTTGTCCGAAGATTATTCTCCTTGGCAGAAAATTAAAGCAAAGTGAGGGACGTATATTCTGGTTTCTCTCCCCATGTATGATGTTGGTTTCATCCACTGCAAGTAGCATTTTATCTCCTTTTGTTTTATCCTTTCCCTGTCCCTTGTATCTGTGACGTGTGTGTGTGTGTGTGTGTGTGTGTGTGTGTGTGTGTGAGAGAGAGAGAGAGAGAGAGAACATGGATGTATGTGTCTACGTGTACTCTTCTTTCCTCCTCCCCCTGCCCCCCTGTCTCCCCCCAGTGTCTGGTGTCTCTCTATCTGTGTGGATCTGCCAGAAATTATCATATGAAATGGTCACTTTCCCCTGAGGTTGCCTTCATCTCCACCCCTAGCAACCAGGCCTTCCTTCTCAGGGAGAATCACATTCAAAGATGGAGTTCTCTGCCTTGGTCCTTCCATTTTGGGGGAGGATGACGTTATGCTCAAGGCTAGTCAAGCCATTATTTGCTGCTCCGCTTTTGCGAGAGAGAGCTCCAGCAGGTTTCTTTGTGGTTTCTCTTCTGGCATGGCTGTAACCTCCCACCATGCCATCCTGGTTTGGTGAGCTCCTCATCCTTTCCCATTTCTGGTAATGCAACAGTTTTCCTTCTATTTTTATTCCCACTGGTCTTTACTCAGACCTCTTTATTTTTCTTTCTGGATTTCCTCACAT